AATGTTTTTAAAAACAGACCGCGTTCAACAAAACTTGCAATTGGAATGCTCAACGAGCCGTGAAGCCTGACATAAAAAGACGGACTTCGCGCTGATCGAGCTAAAATCAGGACGCACAATAACAAGAGAAACAATAACTTCATGATCTTCCAAAAATCAAGGTTGAAACTCATAATGTGTGAGAATCGCCCACTAAACTAAACCCAGTTATTACTTCGGATCGAAATTGACCAATACGAAACAACGCGTTTTCCTGAGAGGTTCGCAGGAAAAAGAAGCCATTTAAAAGACGTTTACCTCTGCTAGGTTAGAAGCGAAAAAATATTTTACAATTGTAACGACTAATGCTTCATTCTGTCTATTTATCTGCTCGTTTGTCTTTGCCAGTAACTCTGGTCACTTTCGAATTAACGATTTTTTGCTATTTTTCACTCCGTTACTTTTGTTAAATTATTTTTGTTAAATTTATTTTTATTCTTGCAAAAAAGTGGGGGGGCCCCCCCAGCCCCTCCCTCTGCGCGGTCTCTGTTTTCTTTACTTCAACCAATATTCAAATTCAAATGTCAAGGAAAGGTTGCCTTTTCTTCACTGACCAGCTTGTTGTTTAAGCCCCCAGCGAAACTAAAAATGAATTATTGAAGAAAGGTAAAAAAAAAAAGCGATGTGTATAAAGCAAATTAATGAAAAATAAAAAAAATTAAATAAAAATTAAAGTAAAAAACGTACATATGCCCCGTCGGCAAAAACTTGAGTGCCTGCTACAGAAATTCGGTTCCAGACAAACAGTGCTACATCGCAATTAGACATTGTATCGTAATATAGTCATTATTAAAAAAAGGAAAAAACATATTGTATTAACATTTTATTTTCTAAATAAATAGTCTCAGCATTATCTTACGATTTATCTTTGGGTGTTAATCCCTACATATTAGTCGAATTTATCGCGTTGAATGATCTACTGACCGCTATATCAACAAAGTGTTTCGCTTCCTTATCTCCCCGTGCCAACAAATTTTGAAGTCGTATTGATGTCATAATTATTAAATTAAGTTATTCTCAAGATGTGGTTTGTACCGACATTTTTGTTTAACCATTGTTTGCACGCACATTTTCACTTTCCAGAAAGAAACTCTTCATCCGAGTCAAGCATTTCTTTTGCCGGAGACAACCGTTTGTGGACAGAAAGGAGAACAGCTTGTTCCAGACTATCCTCACTGGCGTTACCCTGGCATGAGTGAATGGGATATTAATCAAAACACGTCTGAGGTAAAGTTTGAAACTCCTGAGCCATCACTTGTTAATTACTATATGACATGATTAACCATGAAGATCGCCGCAACAAAATGTTGAGTTTTTAGCGTAAATTCTCTCTTGCCTGCTGTAATCTAGAAGCTTTATCGTGGGTATAATGGTTGAGTTGGGATTGTGGAATTATAGAGTGCAGCTGCTTTCAAACGAAAGCATGAATTGATGGTTAGCCGAGTTCCACCCAGTTTTTGAAGATCGAAGGGTTTGACAGCTGTTCGTCACAACACAGGGGGGACTCCAAAACAATAATAGTGAGGGGGATGCTCTTCGTCTAGCCTCAGGGGGGGGGGGGGGGGGGAAAATTGCAGTTTTTGGCCCCCCTTACGTGTTTTGGGAAAGAAAGTCATTATATTTTCCCTTTAAGCTATCGTTTAGAGTTTTGCTAAAAAAATTTTCCAAAAAAAAAAACAGGAGGGGCCCCTTTTGGGGGCCATTTTACGGGGCAACCCCCCCCACTTCGGCCGTTTAGAGGGATAAATTTTAAAATGTTAAGTGTTGGGTTTGCAGTTAGGATTTTAAGTGTGAGTGGCGATTGAACAACAGGGGGTGGTGGTTGGGTATATGCCTGACACGCGGTTTGTAGTGAAGGGTGGTGGTTGGGTTGGTGCTCGACAGAGAGCGGGGTACGCAAAAAAACAGACGGGGGGGGGGTTTGCTGTTGGTCGGGCTGGGGGGGGGGGGGGGGGGGGTGTAAATTGCAGATTTTGGCCCCACTTACGATGTTTGGGACAGAAAGTCACTATATGTTCCCATTAAGCTATCGATTAGAGCTTTGCGTAAAGAAATTTACAAAAAAAAAAGCAGTGATGGTCTCCTTTTGGGGTCATTTTACGCGTGAACCACACCCACATTGGTCTGTCTTAGGGGATTAATTCTAATCTGGCGACGAGCATTCCAGTCACTTTTATATAGACGTCCCCCCGGTGTCCACGTATGGCTGTCAGTTTAAATGAATCCACTCAAGCAAACTGTATCGAAACACCTTGACTCCCGGAGACAACCACAAGAACTTTACAAGAAGTGCACGTACTATACAGCCTAACTTATATGTTATTAATTTAATGTATTTCCAGCCTCGGTATTTGGAGAACTGGGACATGTATTTTCCAGAGGGCGTACAGAATGAGTTTGGATACTTTGAAGGCCCTAGTTTTTCACTTACTAGAGATCAGGAAATCATATATTCTGGTAAGGATAAGTGAATGCTAATCGAGACTCGATTTACGTTGTTTTCTGCATGAACTCGTAGAGTGATCCCAGGAATGCCATGTCACATCATCCTTACAAAAACAAAAAAAGAAAGAAGGAAATCCAAGCAAGGTCATACAGGTTGCCAATTGATCAGTTTATTTCAAAGGCTTAGTTTTTGCAGCTGGTTTTAGAAGAGATTTTAATTAGTTAAAACGTTTTCCCTCAGCAGCTTATATATACTCAAACCATTTGCCTGTAAATTGTTTTACAGATGCCCATGGAACATGTCCTTTGCCTAGTTATTTCATTCAGGATGGATTTAATGCAACTATGGAAAGTGTCACAGCCGATATTTCAATGTTATCTTTAGGACAGAACTCAGTTTCATCAGAGCGTTATTGTAGCGATTCTGCACTACTCAGCAAATCTAGTTTTGGCTCTTTTGCGCCTTTCGAAACTCCGCAGCTGAAATATGTGTATAATTCAAATGCAAAATAGCAGGCAGTGACATGTGCGCAAATATTGGAACATCTGACGTGTAATTTCAATAGAACACGTGTACTTCTGTACGTGTCTCTTTATTAGACAAGAACTATTTTACATTTCAAAGGAACAACTGTTGTGCTCTATTCATTCAAAAAGTCCAGGAACCGAAATAGGAAGTATTGTATTTTCACCATAAAGGGAAAGTCTTTTAACCAATCGAATTGTAACGCGTTGATCAGCCAGCACGTGTATTTTTGAATAGGTTTTTGTGTTCCTTTGTGATAATCGAACACCTGTGTTTACTGTAGACTGTATAAAAGTAGTGCTTAAACTGTTGTAAATGGATTACCTGCGATGATTACCCAGCCCGTGATTACCTGCACGATTACCTACGATTACATGTGAAGTACTATCTACGAGGTTTACTCTACAATAAAGAAGTTACAGCATTACAGAAAAGTCTCAGTTCTTGTCCAACTTTCGTACCTTGGGACATGGAAATTAGACCCTGTACCTCTGGCAGTAGTAACGAGTGGCAGCAGCGAGCCAGTCGCTCTACCGAATTGCAGTTTCCCCCGTCAATAACCTCCATTAGCAGATCACTATTTGCTAATACTCGCGCCCTCGCGAAAAGCTTTAGTTCCGTTGTTTTCCTAGTTCGACGTTCCCGCCAATTTGGTTTGACAGGCCGAAAAGCCGCTCGACGCAGTGAAATTTCCTCTCGTTATACTGGTGGAGAACCCGGGCATTTCTACCGTCTCTACTGCGACCGGGAGGACAAAGTTGCAAGACAAGACTACCAGAACTTCAAGGTAATCCAGTCGGAGACGTAAAACTTTCCGAGTTCTCATTGTTTTACTCCAATAGAAGATTACACAACGGCTACCCCGCCGTCTCGTGGTTATTCACGCAGTTGAATTGACTTAGCTATTTATCCACGAAGAGTATTGTTACCCAAGGAGAGAGGAAGGAGAAGGAGACACGGATAAACAAACTTAAGGAAGATTGAAACGGATTAGAATTGTGGATTTTGAAGACATACGGTTTTTTTTGTAACGCTTGATATAAGGTTCGGAAGACGTATTTGGTTGACACAAAGTTGTACTTTTTTCATTCGCAAGTAATTTCTCAAATTTCATAGCGAACAAGGCCTTTTAATTCAGTAGCATTAAACAAGATGAACTAGACAGCCATGAAACACCGAGCCTTTAATGTTACTGTTTTGGCTCAAAATCCCATGGATAACTCTTTATAACCATGCAGCTAGCGTTAGCCAAATTTGAAAGACTTGATGTTTGGTCTTTATCTGTAGAAGACGAACGCTTTTGAAATTCAATTTTACCTCATGAAACATGTAGTTTCAGTCTTTTTACAAACATGGGATGTGCGAAAGATCATCGTAATAGAGATAGCTTTTGATCTTTCACTCTTTTTTATGCTAAAGTTTAGACAAATTGAAAGTTAAACACCCATTATTAAAGTAATAGTTTAATGAGAGGATGAACAACAACTGTTTTTAAAAGTTCCTCTTAGTTATGGGTGCTAGTTCCTCATTCGGATTCGAAAGGCGTCCATTTTATTTTTGGAAGATTTACTGTTTATATATAGGCTTGAATTGAAAAAAAAAAAAGGAAAATGAGAAAAGAATTAAAAGGAGGAAAACTCTTGTTTGCCGCTATGACAAATCATTTGTTACCAATAATGTCAGCGAAAGTTATTTTCAATGAGTGTTAATTTAAAAAAGACTCAAGACAGTGTATTTAATTAATCATGAATCAGGTTTCCACCTCCTTGTTCCTCACAACATGTCATCGCCAAGCTCAGCAAATCCTTTTAACGATAATTAACTGCCGCTTATCTTCAGACCACCTCAACAACACGGTATTTACTGATAGTAACTTTCAAAGATGGGATTGCGAATCACTTAACTGAAATATATGTTGGGTTGTACATCTTAAAGAAATTCTGAGATTGCGCTAAAGGCAGAGCTGCAAGAAGACAGGAAATTCCCAGGAAATTCACTAGAAGTCTCGGAAAGTAGTGTTGTTCGTTGTCTCCAATTCATGGGCTTAATTGGGATAGTTCTTGGGTAGATAAATTTTTTTTCCGCTAAGTCACCACCTTGGAAATGTGAAAGTATGAACATAAGTGCCGTGTTCTGCGTATGGAGTTGTTTTCCAAATGGGCCTGGCCCTTCACATGGATTATAGAAAGACTGGATGAGGAATGGTGACGTCAACAATCACATTGCTGAGCACCATTTAAAGACGAAACATCAAATTGACTGCGACTCTGCGACATGTGTAACGTAATCAACGTCTTACTTTAGAAAGCTGGTTTACTAACTTAGAACAAACGCCACTGAATCGTAGCCAACAGTTACCAGCGCCGTACGAACGACTTATTGACGAGATCAAGCAAAACTAACTACGAGAGAACGACTGGAGAACTGACAATTTGACTAACAATAGACGACTGTTTAACTGTGACAATAGACACATCGATAGAACGAAAGGGACCAATTACTGATTACGAGTCTTCATAGCCAATAACATCACGGCTTAACTGACAGACGACCAATAACATCGCGACGTATTTGACCAATCAGATCAATAACCAGAGTATAATACCATCAACTGACGTGATACAACTCACTTTGACTTTCAAGATGACTACCGCACAGGTTGTCGGAACGTCAGTCAATGTCTATAACAACAGTCCTATTCAGGACTACGTTCACCCGGACGATCAAACTCAACCGACTTTTGAAATGACTCCTGGGTGTCAAAATGACTCCTCACAGAAAGACTATCAATGGCCCTTCATCTGTGAAAATACAGTTATGTTGGAACCAGTGCAAGCTTTCAGTTTGAGAGCTTTGTATACGCCATGAATTCAAAATATTAAACGCTTTGCAGTGGGCGAGCGGCTGCGGTATAGAGGAAACGGAAGCCTGGACTAGTACCCAGTTGAAGAGTCAGGCGCATATATCTNACGAGTCTTCATAGCCAATAACATCACGGCTTAACTGACAGACGACCAATAACATCGCGACGTATTTGACCAATCAGATCAATAACCAGAGTATAATACCATCAACTGACGTGATACAACTCACTTTGACTTTCAAGATGACTACCGCACAGGTTGTCGGAACGTCAGTCAATGTCTATAACAACAGTCCTATTCAGGACTACGTTCACCCGGACGATCAAACTCAACCGACTTTTGAAATGACTCCTGGGTGTCAAAATGACTCCTCACAGAAAGACTATCAATGGCCCTTCATCTGTGAAAATACAGTTATGTTGGAACCAGTGCAAGCTTTCAGTTTGAGAGCTTTGTATACGCCATGAATTCAAAATATTAAACGCTTTGCAGTGGGCGAGCGGCTGCGGTATAGAGGAAACGGAAGCCTGGACTAGTACCCAGTTGAAGAGTCAGGCGCATATATCTCCTGGAAACCCCAATTCCGCGGCGGCAATGACGGAGTAACCAGCCGTGCTAAAATGCTCGGCGTCAGCAAAACTCGGCAAGTTATTCTCAATGCTTTGAATAAAGATGTTCGCCGAAAGGCGTTGTCTCCGCAGTGTATGCCAACTCGGTTTTGCCAATGTAGATGGCAGGCCTAGAGCAAAGGCGACAGGAGATGAGGTAGACTAAGCCAGGCGTTTGAAAGGAAAGTTTTCAGTTGAGCCGTTATCCAGGAGGTGGATTGATTTTCGACAGAAAAGAGTAATAAGTCTGATGACAGCAGCGGCTTATAAGCGCGTCCATAGGCAATTCACGCTAACTAGACCAAAGCGTCGTAGGGCAAACAGGAGATTTCTTACTGCCTATTTGAATCAATCAATCAATCAATCAATCAATCAATCAATCAATCAATCAACCAATCAATCTACTTTTCTATACAACATGTATACGCCCTGTATTACAATATGCGCGCCCAGTTTTTCATCATTCTTTGCCGCAATATCTGTCTAATGAAATGGAAAGGTTGCAAAAGCGTGCGTTGCGGATAATACAACCCGACTTATCCTATGCTGAGGCTCTAGTAGCTCTAGACATCACGTCATTGTACGAGAGGAGGAAGGCCTTGAGCTGGGGGGGGGGGGGAAGCTACTTTACAAGACGGGAAGAGCGGCGGGTGGAGAAGGGG